AGAAGGCGCCGGCTTAACGGCAGCATTTTATTCACACAGACACCAAGCTCACTGGTCATTACCGCTATAAGGGGCTTTCAGGATCAGCTACAAGCTCACCTATTTTGGGGGTTTGTTAGGTTTTACCTCTGTGTCTGTTTTTGTGCAACGTGACAGAACAATTATTGTTGTATGTGTGAATTAGTTCCTTTCCAGTTTTGTCATACTCCTGACACTGTAAAATAAATACTTTATAATATAGCTTCTACCTTTACATCCGGATCAGAAGTACTTCATTTACATTCAATAGTGCAGTGAGACACCATCGTTTTTAACTGGACAACATTGCAGATGATCGTGGTTGCAGGTTTTTTAAGTAAACCTGACCTTTGACTTTGCTAATAAATTTGCCTACATTGGTCAAAAATGAAAATAACTCAAAACTAAAAGTGAAAAAATGCAAAGAACTAGGGGATTTTTAAGATTATGTTTTCTGTTGAAACCTAAAAGTAGTCTACTGAATTTTGGCTAAATGTCCCTTCAGCTGTTTGGTTAGAAAATAAAAGAGATGAGTGTATTCAGAGAGTGAAGAAACTGAAACTAAATGATGGTGGTTTAAGCAAATTTCCCTTATGACTCCACATAATGGATTTTTTGTTATAGTTTCATTGATTTTATGGATTGAACACAAATCTGACCGGTGCAGATTTGTGGGGTGATAATAAACATAATTGCACGTCTTTTCTAGATTGTTTAATCATATGAGCAGAAATTTGATATGTCTGTGAAAGACTCATATCTGCCCATTTTTATTGGCCAACTGAAATCAGTTGGGCACTCGATTAAAAACAGTTTTGTTGTTCAAATAACATGAAGGGTTATTAAGATGATGCTTACTATTCTGAACTCCACAAAAACACACAGCAGTTGGAACAGATGTACCTCATTTGATTGTTGTCTACACAGTGATGCAGGTGGGCTTGTAGCTGGATGGATAAACACAGCGGCAACACTTCCAACCGAAACTGTCAAACTCCACATTCCATCCCCATGAAGCAAGTGCACACAAACGGACAGCTCTCAAACACACAAGCGGGACAAAGAAGCCCTGAGGACTTGAATTGCTCCACTGGAGGAGGCTCTGCCACGAGAGGCTGCAGCGTGTCTGTCCTCTCACTGCAGTTATTCGCTGTCGGCTGCATCTCCCCCTTGTGCTCACCTTCTCCCCACGTGAATGCATCATATGCTAGAGGCCACACATTATACTGTATTTTCCAATTGCCTCAAGCAAGGCCCTTCATTTGACTGCACCGGCAGATCTGTGTTAAACACTCAGCAGATTAGAGAGAAAGCAAATCTCAGGTTTTATACAAACTGTCTTTTAATGCTCGCTCCTCGTTTGATGTATGTGATGCTGTAGAGACCAACAGAGGAGAGAAAGAGATGGAGGCTATAGTCTGTGAATGAGCGTCCGCCCTTTGAATGCTATAGAGCTCCCATCATTCTCTGATGTCCCCTATGCTCCGCCATTGAATTTGTTTGGATGTGCTACTTCTGCACTCCAGCCTTCCAGTATTTTATTTCTTGTTATTCTAAGTTCCAACCTTACTTAAGAAAATGTGCACGCAGAACCAGACACTATCCTGTTGCTACAGGTGCATATTTTTCTGGTGTTGTCAACGCAATCCAGCCTCTCATGCTGGAGCCAATGAGGCAGTAACATAGCATCACAGGCGACCCAGTGAGCCACAACATCACAGAATTACAAAAAAGGAAGATGTTTGAAAATGATCATCTTCGCTCTGCTGGGGACATTTGGAGGAGAATGAACTATTTCCACTAGAAGGGAGCTGCAGGATTAGGTAAACAGCATTTGTTGGCATCCTGGGGGCCCTAGCTAGTGGTAGGCTGCCTTCAAACATTTGCCTTGTGTGATCAAGCAGTCATTGTCCCTTGTTTCACCCTCTCTTGGCACTGGGGGCACACACAGAGGAAGAAGGTGGGGAGTCTGCTTTCTAGTTGCTGGCATTTGTGAAAAACGATGCCCATTCATAGTTTGGGCATTGAGGCCGTCTGTGGGCTGAGCCAGACTCCTTCTGTTGGCTTCGGGAGGGGATCCCCTCATTCTACATTCCCTTACAGCTGAATAAAAACACTGCTTTTATAGAGCAGCTCGGTCTGTACACCACAACTCAAGCTGAAAGTGTGATAACTAAAAATTCAGCCCTGCATTATATTTAACGCTTCATAGGAATACACATCAAACACATCACGTTTTTTTAAAAACTGTTTTATTGTGTCTCAATGACTCTTTGGTTTAACGTCTATAAACGTGGACAAAGCGCAGGCTCGCAATGTGTCAGTGTGTGCTGGCAGCATGAAATGTGAGCCTCCAGGAAAAAAAGGAGAAGTCGTCTGGAACTCTGCCAGCAGGCTAGAGACAGCGGGAACTGTAGCAACAACAATAGGATACGGACACGAACCCAGCAGCATGCGATGCATGTAAGCAGGGACTGTCTGTTCTCTAACGCCTTAATAAAGAGCTTCATTCAAGGACACGCAATTAATATTCTGCAACGATAATTAGGCTAAAGAGGGCGTGTTGGAAAAATAACCGATGATTATGACCGCAGGGTAAGAACTTTGCCAAGCTCAGCTTAACAGACCAGCCAAGCAACTGACATTCACTTGAAAGCGCATCAACGGGAGAAGCTATGAGTCACTGAGAGCTCAGTGCACAAGGGCAAATAACCCTGTCCGTCCTCTGACGCCTCAGTTATCATGGAGCACTTCACCTCTAGGTATGGAAGGCATGTGAGCAGCGTGAGAGGATGACAGCAGGCTTGAAGTGAGAGTGACAGCAGGACTTATCCCTGTCACATGCCAAGGATGAAACCCATCTGCACACACTGCCCAATGGCTTCCCCGGCTTCACTCCCACTCTTTTTCCTCACCCCTCCTCCTCCTCACCAGCCTCGAGTGGGTACAGATGTGTGAGCCACAGACGCTCCCACTCTGGAGCCCTTATTGGACCCACAGGGCTCAACACAGGCTGGCAGACAGCTTGAAGAGCTCCTGGCCAAAGGAGTACACAGTCACATCTTTTGCAGGCGATTGTGTGGAGGAGATGGTGCGACAGCTAAATCCAGGACATTTTATCATTCACACTGACGTGATGGAAAGTGTTTCATAACGGCAGACATAAACAAAAAATACTTGAAGATGATAATTTATTTCACTTTTCTGATTTGATTCATATACACAACAAAGTAAGATTATATTTGGAAAACACAGACTATCCTGCTAAAGACAGTAAACATGCCTAACCGCTTCCCGTGAAGAGATTATTAAAAGTCTCACATTTTTTCCCTCCCAACACTTTGACACAGACTGTTAGAAACCCAACAGGAATTCCTCGACCAAAAAAGGCAAAGGCACCGGGTAAATTTAGACGACTTGATATGATCGAAAGGGATTTATTTTGTCTGTTTGACAGCAGCTTGGCAAACAACTGGCCCGCTGCTTCTATAGAGACACTGTGGGTACTGTCAGACAAAAACTTCAACAGTAATAAAGCTTCTTTCAAGTGTGCATCCCAAGGTTTATTTATATCTGAATTTGACAGACAACTATTCAACTGTCATGTTAACATTTTGAGAACATGATTAATTTACAGTAGATTGAAACATATTTAATCAATGTGCATCGAAAAGCCACAGAAACAAGATTGCCATTGTGGGGATGGTAGACTAATGTCTGATCAGATGATTAGATCGATGTGATAGATTCGATATTTCTCATCTTGCACATATATCACTTGTCCTGGATTCACCCCACAGAAAAAATTGTTCCCATTTTTCAATTCTTACTTCCCTTGTAATTCCACAGAACAAATAATGATACTTCATGTCACCTGACCACATCCAGAAGAAACGTTTAACTACCATGTACTTCCCTGCAGGGTCATATCTTTGGTATAGCTTTAATGATATTACTCATAGCAACTGTCCTGGAATCAACCCAAACACTGTTCCTGTATTTTCTCTCCATTATCAGTCAGTACTCCCCCTGTGATTCTGTAAGACCTATGAGGCTACTTCGTGACATCTGTCCCCCTCCAGCAGAACCATGAAACTGCCATGATCCCCCTGCAGGGTCACCATTCCTCTCTGATCAGATGATTTAAACAATGCAATTGATTAGATATAATTTAACATCTTGCAGAGATTGTCCTGGAATCACCTCACAAAAACTTAGTTCCTGATTTTACTCACTTTAAACTCCGTCTCAACTTCCCTTGTTATTCCACACAAACCATAAAGCTACTACATGTCAACTGGACCCCCCCCTGCTGCAGAAATAGAAAACTGTCATGATCATGCCGTGGGCCACTATCTCATCTTTAGCCCTCAAATAAGCTGATTCGATCCATGTGAGCGATTAGATATTCCTCATCTTCCACAGGTGATGTCTGTCCTAGATTCACCTCCCGAATTAAACCTTGTTCATTGTACCAATCTCTAATTCCCTTATAATTCCACACAACCATGTCCTCTGCCCCTCTCCTGCAGAAAACATAAAACTGCCATGAGCTCCCTGCAGGGTCACCATCTCACCCTTATTATCACTAAGATGTTTTGATAAATGTGAACGCTCAGATATCTATCATCAGAATCAGTTTCTATTTCTCAATCTGAACTTCACGTGCGACTCCACACACCCAGTGAGGCTGTCATCTATCCCCTCTATGCAGAAACTTGAAACTGTTATGATCGAGTTCATGCAGGGACACCATCTCACCCTTGCCTCTCTGGTCTTATGATTTGATCAATATAATCTATAAGGTATGAATCATATTGTAAAACCTATAAGTGTCGATGGAATCCCCCAAAAAACTAAGTTTCTGTTTCTCAATCTGAACTTCACATTTGATTCCACGCTCCCAGTGAGGCTGTCATCTACCCCCTCTCCAGGCAGAAACTTTAAACGCTCATGCTCGTGTCATGCAGGGTCGTCCTTACCTCTTTGACTTTCACCCGGCGCTCCTCGGTCTTGGGGTCGCTCGGCTTGCCGCCATCCCTCCCCAGCGGAGGTTTGAGCAGACACCTCGTGTACTTCTTGTAACTGAAAGTATCCGAGCCGGCACCGCGGTCAGGGGAGGTCACTCTCTCCGAGGCGGACTGCGTCCTCGACCGGGACAGAGTCAGATCCTCCTGCGCCCTGTCCCCGGCCAGCCGCTCCTCCGTGGCCTCTTGAGAGACGGGCGGTTTGCGGATCAGGCTCTTCAGCTTGGTGCTGGTCTCCCCCTTGGCAGAGGTCACACCCCGCGGGTGCTCCGGCTCCTTACCGGCTCTCTTCAGGTGCTCCCGGGCATCGTTCTCGGACCCGGAGCCGACGGTGACCGGCTGCGTCTCTGTCTTGGACAGGAAGATGCGTTTTAGCCGGACTGAGTCTGGCAGAAAGAAAAGGGCCCCGAAGCAGAGAGTTACCAAACCCGAGAGAAAGAGCAGAAAGACGAATTTCTGGGACAGGCGCAGACCCATGCCCGATGCCGACACACCGGGCAACTTTCGGAAAACCATTGAAAACTTTTTCTTGGAGACGTTTCCTTGCAGAGTTTCTCAGCACAGGGTTTCGACAGAGTCCGCTCTGTGGCGAGCAGCCGATCTGCTGCCTCCAAACATAAAAACACACCGTGTATATGCGGGATTTTAAACACACCCCCGTGACACTTGCAGAGCAGCATAAACAGCCCGAGCTGTCTTTATCTCGCTATCGACAGGATGTGCATGAGGGTAGGGCCCTGCCTACATGTGCAATAACACCTACACCTCTGTGAGGGGTTTCATCTACACAACACAACCACTGACACCAGCAGACTGCAGGGTTTTTAAACAGCACTAATCATAAAAACAGCACAGGGCTCCGGGGGCTGGCAGATAAATGGCACTGGAGCACTGAGCTGTGTATTCAAGAATAACAGGATTACCGGAGCATGCGCCTCTGCGAAGAAATAAATGTACTTTTATGAGGGATAATCACGCGTCTCGCAGTCTGTCAGGCCCGTGAACAAAGTTGTGTCTCGATGCATTATTTCCCCAACGTGCAAACCGTCAATAACACGCTGCCCTACGGTGCAAAAACCTCAAGCGTGCAGCATCTCTTTCCTTGTCTCCGGTTGTAAGCTGCTGCTGCTGCCGCCGACCCACGTTGCTGCATCATAAGCCCCTGAAATCCCATTTAAAAACCCATAAAGAAACCATAGCACGCCGTTTTGTTTGCATCTATGCGGGGCAGCTGGTGGACGGAAACGCGTGGATCTTCATGTCGCCTCCGCCTGTCAACACGCGCTCCTCCCGGTGCAGCCTCCCGAGCTTCCCCCCCTCTCCGCTGGCGTCAACACGCCGGGCGAAGCGGATCGGTGGATGGCATGGAAGACGGCAGGTTTTGTCCCGTGTGAAGTTATCCTATCAGCCCGATCCAAAATCCGGAGAATAAACAAGATCCACCAGTTTCCAACAAAGACTGACACACCACCACCACAACCACCGCCGCTGCTTCAGCTGCTGTCGCCGCGTCGTCGCTCCGGTGCCCGGGCTCCCTCCTTGCCGTGCCTCGCTCTCTCCCTCTCGGCTGCGCACTTGTGTCGCTACGCCGCTTGCGTAAAATAGGCGAGAGGAGAGGGGCTGGAAATGTAACATATAGTGCAGGCAGAGATAGGAGGAGGAGGAGGAAGGAAGAAGGAGGAGGAGGAGGAGGAGGAGGAGGATGATGAGGAGGAGACGAGACGGTCCGCCGCTCCACAATCCGGTGGGCTGGTCGGATTTCGTGCTGGATATTCACGGGGGCTTATGAAAACACAGTTAAGCCGTTTGAGCCGCTCGGACAAAAGGCGAAGAGAGGTCTGATGGAGCCTCACGTTAGGAAAACCTCCACAGAGAGAGAGAGAGAGGGGGGAGAGGAGTGTGTGCAATCCCGCAAAAGCCTCCACAAGAGGGGGGTGTATCCGCTACAGTCCCCGGGAATTAAATTAGCCCGTACACCGGGATATGAAGTGTCATTATCCGCCGCTGCTGGGCAGAAATGGCTGCCCACCTTGCCCCTGTCCATGAGGGGAACCACGGAGACAAGCCCGCCTGATGAAGAGCGACATTTATTCATTTAATTGAATCTTTAATTCACGTTATTTTGTGATAAACCTGTTTCTAGCTGCCTGGTTAGCACACAGCTAGCTCCCCTCGCGTAGCCGCCGTTTTTATGCCCAGGTGAGTTCGTCACTGACGTAAAGAAACAGGAAACAGAAGTTTGAAGAGCTCAGTAAATCTTTTTAAAAAACACTCACTGCTGGTGTGAAGACTTCTCTCTGTTCAATAAAGACTCTGCTGTCGAACAGGAAACAAACCAACAGCTGGAGTCCAGAAGTTTGTACGTTAACAAAGTTTACTTCCTGTTAGCATGAACCTAATCGGTACCCGGAAGTGACGCATCTCGTTGATTGGAAATCAAAGTCATCAAAAAGCTTGGGTTCATTTTAAAGTTATTGTTCTGTTATTGATCATATTTGGATATTTTATTTATTTTTCTTATACTCGATGATATTTGTTTTTGTTGTTTGATACTTGTTTTAATTGATATGTAATTTGATGTTGAATTTGTTATCGTCCAATCGTTCATCTGTAGACACTTCAAGCACATTTAAATTGCTTTATATTTTCATATTCATATTCTTCATTGTTTATGGTATTCTCCATTACATTTGGGTCAAACGTTCCTAAGCAATCTGGAAAGCGAGTGTTTTGTCGAATGATGTCAAAACATGGGTTTTCAAACAACGTCAGAATACTGCTTTACTTTAAGCTGACTTTATTTTCATTTGGCTCATCAGGCCTGTGTATTTCCATGTTATCTAAAGCTCCATCTGTTTCCCCAGAGATGGCAAAGTGACATCAAAAATCATAATAATAATTTAATCCAGTTTTGGTCAAAATGTGGGACTTACACAAGCAGAACGAATAAACCTATACTGACTAATAATTGGGTCCATTTATCAGCCTTTTCTGCGGCTTTCAGCCATATCATAGGGGCTTTATCAGGGGATGGAGTCTCCTCTGTTGTCATGGAGACAGAACTGTTGGCATGTAAGCTTGGTAACCATTCAGATTTAGCTCCATGACTGAGCAAACTCCATCTGCTGATGAAGACTGTGTGATGCGGTTAAAATCTATTATTCTCAAACTAATAATTCTGAGTGTTGAGTGAACTTCTGTGCCTAATTTACAAGTTTAAATTGGCTGAAATTCAACACTTTGAATCGTGCTTCGAGTTTCAACCGACGTACGGGCAGTTTATAAAAGTGTGTTTACATAATGTTGACACAAGCAAGATAGCAGCTAAACTGTAAACACCGAGTTTTCCCAGGGTTGAATAAGACAGATGGGCCTGTGAGTTGGCCATTACTGAAGAGCCCGCGCAGGACTATTCAACTAATGTGTCTGAGAGCAGGAACGAGAAAACAAATGTATGATCGGTTTCAGTATTGGACTTTAATTGCAAGTCACCCCCCCTCCCACAACTGGACTCCTCACCGATGGGCCTCCGCAGGTGCGTGGAGATCCTGTTGTCATCATGTTGCCTCATATTATCCTCAGAATCAATGTATTCAGCGGAGATCATCAGCAGTCCTGACAATGTGTGTGACATCTGATGAAACACACGTCGTCCTCTCTCCCTCCTCCCGTGTCCCCCTCTGTCGTTGGAACATTTCAGTATAACTGGATGGTCTTCTTCCTACAATTTCAACATTTCCGATGAAACCCTCTGAGTAAAAAGTACTTTTTAATATTTGACGCATGAAACTCCTTGGGCTCTTCTCTTTTTTGTCATTGTCAGTTGCGTTCGGTGGGATGAGCTAATGCTACGGTAATTTGTATTGGATTTGACCCCACATTTCCGCTGCTAAGCCGTCTCCCTCTGCAGCCCTAATTGAGTCAGAGTGGTTGTCTGTACTTTACAGAACAGAGGGGGGAGACGAGAAGACAGAATTGTTGAATTAGCCTTTTTTATTTTGTGATCCAAGAGCGTTTCCTCTGAGAGTAGGTAAATCTGTGAAGCATGTTGTGGGTTTCATCTCAGACAAAAGGACAGTGTGTAGTCAGAGAGTGTGGCTGTGTGACGGCTCAGTGTCTGTGTAGAATTACTCTGGAACACTGTGTTTTTCATTACGCTTGCGTACCATAAAATACACTTTTTAGGTTCCATCTGATGCGTTTGAATACAACTCTCCTGAAGTTATGAAGAAACTTTTGACACTGTTGCAGACGCCTGCTGTTATGAGTCTGTCACAGTTTTCCAACATCAACACTTTTTAAGCATTTTGTTTACAGAAGTAGTTCCAGTATTCAGACCCTGTGATGTGATTATTACAAATTTGGAGGAGTAAAAACTTCTCTGTATATAATGTGGTCATGTACAACATCCACTGTAACTGAGACCTCAACAATAAACAGAATTACATTTTTACTTTTCCAACTATGTCAAAAACTGTAATCAGAATTGATGGCCGAGCTGTTGCTTTATATTGTACAGGTGTTTGTAATAAAGTGGCCAGTGTGTGTGTGTGTGTGTGTGTGTGTTGCACAGCCTCAGAAAATACCATTTATCTGGATATTATAGAGAAATTTTATTTTATGGATTATTCATAGGTTGAATATATAATCTGCTGATTCCAACAAAATAAAATACCAACCGCTGCCTTTTTTAAAACAACTTAATAGACACATCGAGTCAGTATTTCTGAAAAGGACAAGTTATACATGAGTCCAGTCGGGGAGCTTGCATGAAACTGCATCAGCCAGTGACAGCCCAGTTTATCACCAGGATGGATGAGTAAGGCGATGCAGTCTCACCACTACCGTCAGGCAGGGGTGAAATCACAGCGCTGACGTTCCTCACTGAAAATAAATGGTTTATTCAGATAAATGGCTCCAACAAAAGGCCATTTCTTTTATCATCTGCATTCGCTCCCAACACCACAGAAAACAACTGCTGCCGCTGTCCGGGATGCACTTTATGATTTCACAGCAGAAATGTCATCCGCTGTGACTGTTGGCTCTTCATCATGCAGCACAGACACACACACAAACACACACACTGCATCCATAACATAACGGTGTCTTTATTACCTCTGCCATTTAAAATGAAGTTTTCATCTGCGCTTGTTTGTTAGTTAGCAGGATTATGAAACTACAGGATGGATGTCACTTTCTGTAACATCATGTGATTTGATTTGGTTTCTCAGATAAGTGTGTGTGAGTCTTGAGGGTTGGTATCAATGAGTGTGAGCAATTTTATCCGTCCATCCATATATCCTTTTTTTGAGGGTGGTACCCTGAACAGTCAGTCCATCACAGGGGCCAACATACAGAGATCAATTTAGAGTTTCCATTTAACCCAACTCCATCCTTTATGTATTTGGACTGGGTGAGGAAACACGGGGGAGAACGTGCAAACTCCACACAGAGAGATTCCTGTTTCACTAGGTCTTGAACCGGGAACTTTCTTAAGCGTTAACCACCACCGCAATTCAAAGCAGAGCCAAATGAAAATGTAGATCCAGTTGTGATTTGGGCCGTGAACCTGTAACGTTGTAACTAACACCAATATGTTGCTGAGAAACACAATGTGGCCTCAGCTCTTAGGTTTTAATCTCAGGGGACTGTTGGGCCCATGTGCTCTGCTGAGTGCCATTCCAGTTCTTTCATGTACAAACACAGTTTCTAAGCATGGGAGGGGATTCTGCTGCTGCACGTGAAGTTATTTAGATGTGACTGATAAGGATGCAGCCCTCAGTTGTTTAACTTTGTTATCAGACTGACTCACAGATAATCGGTTTGGGAAGTAAATCCACAAACAGAATACAAGAGGGAACAGAAGCAATGATTTCCTCCTGTCTTTTCTAATCTTAATTGGCATTGATAGTGATCAGAGGAGAGATGTTCTGGAAGAAAACATCTTGCTGCACAAGACAAGGTCAGTGTATTTAAAATATAAACACTAATTAAGATTTGTCAAACATTCGCATATTGATCACTAACATTTCTCATATCTCTAAACCAGCAACATTCTCTGCAGAGGCTCACGCACTGTAATACGTCTTATGAGATCCAGAACCATTTCTCCTCTTCAATTCAACAATTCGATTCTGTCCCGACCCGCACTGATGTTTTATTCATCAAACGAGATGCCAATGAAAAAGTCCATCTTTGTGTTCTGCTCATTCCAATGCATCAAACAGCCGGCAGAGATGTATTGGCCCATGTCAGCGTGTCCGGATTAATAATGTCGCAAAGCCCACTTGTTTAGTTTCTTTTAGCCCCGCCGCTGAGCATCGAGCTGGGTGCTTGATCTCGAGCCGTAAATATCGGGCTCACAGCTTTTTGGGATAAGGTTGTGACCCTGTTGCACGATGCCGGGACACACACAGGGACCCCACTGTAACCCTCCATGAACTCTGGGTCACCTGACAGGATGTGGCAGCAGCAGCCGAATACTGATGAGTCTGGATCCCCTCGTCTTATCGGCTGATTTGTTAAAACTGTGTGTAAAAGTACACCAGTGTAAAAAAAAGTCTAATTTGGGGTGGCTGTGGTTCAGGAGGTCTAGAGGGTGGTCAACTAACTAAAAGGACAGTGGTTCGATTCCAATCTCCCACATTTTGCGTGCCAAAGTGTCTTTGGGCAAGATACTGAACCCCTATAGATCAGTGCACTCCTGATAACAGACCTTCTGCAGGATCAATGAATCCCAAACCCTGAACCTAGTGAGGTTAGCTGGTTCCTACTGGTCTACATATGTATGTGACAGATGATGTGTTGATAAGAGGCCTGATATCAGTTAAATTCAATATAAGTATCTATAAATTATGCAGCAAAAATCCCAAACATTTCCACCGCTGTATGTTCACGTCTTTGTTTATTATGTGTATATTTCTTTTGATGAACACTGATCTGAACTGGCAGGTTTTCCCTCGTCCCTCAACATAAATAGAATAAAGCTCAGATGCGCCATCAGTGCAAATAGTATCAGCGGAACAAGATGCAGCATTTATTGCTCTGCTGCAGATATATTTGTCTGTTCTGTTTATAGATGAGACAAACAGCAAATCTGCTCTTTGTGTGTGTGTGTGTGTGTGTGTGTGTGTGTGTGTGTGTGTGTGTGTGTGTGTGTGTGGCCTTCATGTGACCCATCTCCGCCAGACTCACCATCAAAGACATTTCTTGTCGTGCAAACAAAATATTT